TACTATCATTATTTTCTTCATGCCTTAAGAGATTAATGTTCTGATTTAGAGAGCTTAACAAAAATCCAAAGTATTGACTTATTAAAATTTACTTTCACATACTTTCAAATAGTGATAAATATTTAGCTATTTTAAGATCTGTGTTTCAACTAAAATGATTCAGGAGTAAATTGACTAATGACTCTTAGTTTCAGTATATGTCTACAAGAGAGAGAGAAAGAGAGAATGAGAAAGACAAGAGGAAAGAGAGAGTTTGAGAGATGAGCTGATAGAGAAAGGATTTGCCAAGTTGATCTCATAACAATGATGCACATTAACTGAATAGCAACTATAGTAATCCTGGAAATTGGTATGCATAAAAATCAAAATACCAATTTGCCATGATCCCTGTTTGTACCATTCCATTCTTATAATGTGCTTGTAGACATTTACACTGAAGTATAATAGGCATATAGTAATATTGCACAGTTCTTAAGTGTATAGATACATGAATTTGTATAAAGTGGCGGCAACCATATAACCACTACCAACTTCATAATATAGGACAATACCAGCACTCTGAAAGCCTCTCTCATGTCTACCTGCTATCATTGGTCTCTTCCAAAGATAACATTTAGTCTAATTTTTCATCATAGTTTAAAATGTTCTTGTACTTTATGTATATATAGAATTGTGAACTGCATATTATTTTGTCACTGGCTTTGTCCTCTTAATGTTATGTATATGGCATCTGTCATTGCTGATGTGTGTAGCAGCTGTTGGGTTTTTCACATTGATGAATGACAATCGATGGTAGTAACATTCTACTATTATGTGGTATGAATACATACAGTGGATTTTACCATGTGTAAACATTTTAGTTTTCCTAAGTTTTCAGTTATTAAGAATAATGCTATGGATCCTAGCTCCAGGAAGTATGGAGTAAACACACTCTTTCCCTGTCTCTCTCACTGAAAGCAGCTGTAGAATCTGAGCAAAATGCACAAAGAAAGAAACTATTGAGCATTCTGAAAAGTCAATAGGTAGATTGGGGAAGAAGATCAGAATTCAACGTAATACCAAACTGGCAGTGAGGTGACCATTTTCCCCCGTTTGTTATTCACTTTGCTTGGCCCAGTAGGTGGGTACAATCTCAGAAATACCAGGCAGAATGAGATAGCTAATTCCCCAGCTTTGGGGCTAAAGACATGGGAAAAAGAAGCACAAGAAACCAGAAAGTACTAGAGAGATAAATGAAATGAAAAAGGTCATGAAAGTGAACCTATAAATTTAAGACCTCCTAAGCTCATGCTGAGCTAGCTGCACATGCAAAGATCTGTTCCTCATTAGCATTAAAAAAGACTTTAAGCACTGAGCCAGCAGGTAGACCACCATTCTTGCTGGCCACTGGATGGCACACATGAAGGACTGACATTGGGAGCATTTCAAAGACTTTGAAAAACTGAACTGACAGTGAACTGCAGCCCGCAGGTGTATTGGGATCTGCAGCCTGTTCTAACCAGGTCTATTGCCTGCTTTAACAAAAATGTCATCATTCTCAATAGAATTGAAAGAAGACCTATTATAATTATAAAAATATAAAAGAAATTTTAGTATAAGAATATATGATAAAATTAAATTAAATAACCAAAATAAGAGATACGTGTGTATATATATGTATACATATATATGTAGATTGATATAGATATATTGTCCGTTCCGAAAGTATCCAGCCATGTTGGTGAATACGATCATGCTATCTGTGGATAATGACAGACTTATGTATTCTTTTCATTTCTTATATTCATTACATTGGCTTATATTTCTAGTGCAATATAGAAGTGATGATAGAACAGTTTCAATATTTCACCACATATGCTGCAAATTTGTATGCATATGTATACTCTGGCAGATCAATAAAATTCTCTACAATTATGGTTTGCTAAGGGTTTTTATTGAATGAATGTTGAATTATACCAAATGTTCCACATTTATTGAGAGAAAAATAAAATTTGTGGTCATTCTTTAAAAATAAGATAATGATGTCTTTTCACATATTAAATCAACATTGTCCTACTTTAATAAAACAAATTTGGTATGATTTTGTTATAATACTGAGTCAGGTATAATGATTCCTTATTTAAAATTTTGGCATCTAAGTAAATAAAGGTGGTGGCCTTATAATTTTTCTTTTTAAAATTATTTTTATTTTGTATAATGTTATAAGGGATTCTTAAAATATTTTGAGAAGATTTTTTTTAAATTCCATTATAAGAAGAGTATATTTTAAAATGGCATTTTAAACAAATATTTGTAAAATTTACTTGAGAAGAAAATTAGCCCTTGAGTCATAGATTAAATTCTTTAATAAATATAAAATTATTAATATTTAAAAATAACTTTTATTGTGAATTTTAGTAAATTGTGTTTTTTAAAAAAATTTTCCATTTTATTTCCATGCTTTTTGGCTTCCATGTTGTAATTGATAATTCAGTTGTAAGTCTTATTCTATTTTGAAGGTAATGTTTATTCTTTGGTTTCAAAAGTTTCATTTATTTATCTATTTATGTTATTGATACATAATATTTTGTATCAATATTTGTAAATATTTTGGAAGTATATGTGATATTTTGATACCTATATACAATGTATGATGATGAAATCAGGGTATTTGGGATATTAGCACCTTAAACATCTTTTCTTTGTGCTGGGAACATTATAGTTCTTCTCTTCTAGTTATTTTGAAATATATAATAAATTATTGTTAACTCTAATTTTCCTACTGTTCTAGCAAATGCTAGAACTTATTCTTTCTATCAAACTGTATTTTTGTACCTCTTAATTAACTTACCTTTAACACCCCCTCCCCTTCCCTTCCTAGCCTCTGGAAACCAATATTTCACTTTCTACTTCCATGAAATCCACTATTTTAGCTCCCACATTTGAGTAAAAATATATAGTATTTGTCTTTCTGTGCCTGGCTTATTTCATTTAACACAATGTTGCTATCCATGTTGCTGTTAATGATAGGATTTCATTCTTTTTAAGGCTGAATAATATTCCATTTTATAAACCTACCAAATTTTCTTTATCCATTCATCCAATGATGCAGCAGTCCCTAACGTTTTTCACACCAGGAACCGGTTTCATGGAAGATAATTTTTCCACGGACGGTGTGTGTGGGGGGTGGGTGGGGTGGGGTGGCGTGGGGGGTGCAGAGCTCTGCAGCCCAGCCTCTAACAGGCCACAGATCTGTACCAATCGCAGCCTGGGGGTTGGAGACCTCGGCACTGATAGACATGTAGGTTGCCTTCATATCTTGGGTATTGTAAATAGTGCTGCAATAAACATAGGAGTACAGATACCTCTTTGAAATACAGATTTCTTTTCTTTTGGATATATCCCCAGAAGCAGGATTACTGGGTTTATTTTTAGATTTTTTAGGAACCTTCATACTGTTTTTTTTTTCCTTAATCAAAACAACAGGTTATATTAGTTCGTAAATATACAATCTAAATAAATACAATTAAAGAGACATTTAGTAAAAAGAAACGATTTTATAATGGAAATAAGACATAAGGCTAGACTGAGCACTTAATCTTATGAGAAAAAACAAACTAAACTGCTAAAGCTGGCACACACCAGCTTAGTAAGTTCAATGTCATGGGTTTGGCCATTGCCCCACTGGCTGGCCTACCCGGAAAATGGCGCAGACACAAGCCACCGCTTAGAAGGCAGAGGCAACAGTAATTACAGCATGCGTGACTCTGAGTGACCTTAAGCACTAAGCAGAATATTTTAGATAAGAGATGGAATTTTTATATGACTGACAAACTAGAGAGTTGAGACCTCTTAATTATTTTGTAAGTGCTCAGTAGGGTAGAGATATGAGCCTTAGGTGTCAACTACAGCAGGCATTAGGAAGCCATTTAGAAATAGCCTGGTGGTATTTTGCACTTCCTACTTAATTCAGCTAGGTGCTTATCAACTAGAAAAAAGACCCTGATAAATCAGAATGGACTTGGAATGGGAAGCCACAGGTTCAAGTCTCATCTCTTAAGTCTGGCAAAGCTGTCTGACCTTGAATTCACTCTGTTCTCTATAGCACCCAAAGGCTTCTTTCTAAAATGTAAACAAAACCTCACTGTTGCCTTGCCCAAAACCTTCCAGAGGTTTCCCACTGCACTACACCTAGCATTAAATCCAAACTCGATAAGGCCCTGCCTGATCTGGCCCCTTGCTCTCCTCCTACTTTACCTTTCGCCTCTTCAACTCACCACCCTGCACATCCTGAGCTAATTCCTGCAGGTCCACAAACGTGCCCTTTGCACATGGTATTCCTTACATCTGGGATAATTCTTTTCTCCACTTTTCACTTAGCTCTTTATTTCATCCTTCAGGTTTTGCCTTAAATTTATCTTTCTCAGAGATCTTTCCCTGACCACTCTCAATTATTATTCTCTCTTTTAATACCCAGTATTTTCCTTCTCAGCAAAAATTGGAAACCTTTTTGTGTATTTCTCGATGTAGTGATTTGTTTAGTATCTCTCACATAGAGGAGCCGTAAGTCCCGTGGAGGCAATAGTGGCTGTATTAATTTCCCTTCCCACCAAAAGTGTAGTAGCATTCTTCTTTCTCCCCAAACTCTCCAACAGTCGTTACCTTTTGACTTTTGATAAAGGCCATCCTACCAAATGAAATTATAGTTTTGATTTCAATTTCCCTAATGATTAGTGATGTTGAACATGTTTTCATATACCTGTTGGCTATTTTTTTTTTCAGGAGGAATTATTTTTTTATTTTGACTGTAACACTCCTTAGTCTGTACCAGTGACACACCCTAAAGAAGCATCCACCATAGACAAAGGACTAGAATGCAGGGTGCAAGTGCCTTATTCCCAGTATTTCATTTCTGAACAAAGGAAAGAAAAGATATTGTCTTACAGGCTGAATCTTCTATAGGCTTGAATAATTTTATAGATTATTTCCCCTGAGGCAAGGAGCAGCCATAATTTTTCTCTTCATTCACCATAGCAACTCTTGCACTGTTGAAAATGCTCAGTTGCATGCACTAACCAAATTCTAAACCTCCATCTTCTTTCCAGTACCTTGGTCTGCTCCAATTCTTTGTTCTTGGCTTGCATGATTGCTTCAAAGTCCTTCTTGCTACGATTTAGCTCTTCCATTAGAGCCCGGTGCTCCTGCAGAGCCTGGGAGAGCTGTTGCTTCAGGTCCTCTTCTCCTTCCTCTTTCTCCAAGTCCTGGAGATGCTGTTCCTCTTCCTGGAAAGTCTTCTCTAGTTGCTCCACTCTTGCCTGCTGCTGAGCCTGCTCTGCACACAGCTGGGACTGTAAGTCCTGCAGTTCCTGCTCCATTCTCACAATTTCTTTTGAGTTCTCCTTTTGGGTCTGCTTTTTCACATTCAGAACAGCTACTTGTTTTTCTTGCATCTGTGTTTTCAGCTTCAGCATCCTGGACATGGTCACCTTAAAGATCTCTAAGCTGCTCTGAGAAGCTGAAGAGTTTGAGGCTTTCTGCTTCTTGTGATGAAGCTCTCTGACTTTTTGGGGGCCAGACTCTGTGGTCTTTTCATTTGGCTCAAGAGAAGTCAACTTAGGATCCAAATATTCAGAGGGTTGATTGGCCACCTCACCTCTCCCATTAGACTTCACTAGCTGACCAGGTTTATAAAATACTTCACTTATTTTAGATTTCAGATTTGAGGGTCCTTCAGCTCCAGAACCATCTAATTCATCCAAACTAAATTTCCTCTTAGTTCTCAAACCCTTATTTTTTTTCCATCATCTGATCACCGTTTGGGGAAAGACAGGGATATATCCTCTCCCAGTCTTCTTCAGTAACTTCATATTCATACTCTGCATTCTCTTTATTTTCCAGAGGCACTCCAAGCTGGATGTGGTCTCCCTTATGGATGGAATAGACCTTTAAAGGTTCCAGACGCTCTCTGTTCAGCCAAACACCATTTAGACTCTCTTTCAGAGCCCTTTCAGTCTGGAAAATAAGCTCTCAAAATTCTCCCGTCACACTTTGTCCTTGGATTCCTCTACGTTTACCCATTCATCACTTCTTGGTGACACCTGACTGAGACCTGAGAAGAGAGTCATATAACAACTGCCCTAGAAAAAAGAGTACAAAGCAACACTGGAGAGTGAGCCCACAGCAGTCATAATCTGTCGCTGGCACAGGCTGTCTCTGTATTCCTTGTTGTCCATAATTGTCCACTGGCCCTCAGGATTCTGCTTCAAAACACAGTGGCTTCGAGAAATCATCAGAGGGCAGATTTTTGACACCAGTTGGTAAGTGACACCAAATCCTCGTCCTACAGTCACTTTCAACCAGTCTTTGCATTGAGCATATATTCTTTATCTTATCCACAAGGACAGTATGAGAACCTCTGGAAAAGGTTGAAAGGAAGCCCCAAATCACATCTATCATACTTTCCTGATGGACCAGTCTAGTTCATAACAGCCATTATTGATTTAAAAGATCTTGTCCTTGCCCACCTTCACTAATGCTATCTCTTTCCTCCTGGGCACGACTCCTGCTGTCTCCCAGATGATTAGTAAATACTTCAGAACCATCCTTTCCTTGGAGCAGAAAGCTAAACAACAGACAGAAGCAATCGCTGCGCGCTCGAGATCGATGCGAACGTACTCTCTTGTCCTGTTGGCTATTTTTATGTCTCCTTTTAAGAGACACCTGTTCAGATCTTTTGTCCATTTTTAATTGGATTATTGGTTTTTTGCTTTGAGCTTCTTATATATTATGGTTATTAATCCATTGTTTACTGGATACTTTGCAAATATTTTCTCCCATTCTGTAAATTATCTCTTGGCTTTCCTGATTGTTTCTGTGGCTGTGCAGAATTTCTGTAGCTTGATATAATTCCATTTGTCTATTTTGGCTTTTGTTGCCTGTGATTTATAGATCTTACTAAAAAAATCTTTGCCCAGATCAATGCCCTGTAACATTTCTCCAATGTTTTCTTTCAGTAGTTTCATAGTTTCAGGTCTTAGTTTTAAGTCTATGAACCATTTTGAGTTGATTTTTGTATGTGGTGAAACATGGGGAACTAATTTTATTCTTCTGCAAATGGATATCGTTTTCCCAGAATAATTCTTTAAAGAGAATGTCTTTTCCCCAATGTATGATCTTGTCACCTTTGTGGAAAATCACTTGGCTGTAAGTATGTGGATTTACTTCTGGGTTAATTGTTCTGTTCTCTTGGTCTGTGTGTCTGTTTGTATGCCAGTTCCATCCTCTTTTGGTTATTATATCTTTGTAGTATAATTTGAAATCAGGTAATGTTCTCTTTGCCTGAACAAAGCTCAAATCACCTTTGTTCTTTTTGCTCAGGATTGCTTTGGTTATCAGGGGTCTTTTGTGGTTCCATACAAATTTTAGGATTTTTTTTCTATTTCTATAAGAACATCATTTATATTTTGATATGGATTACATTGAATCTATAGATCACTTTTAGTAGTATAGATACTATTTATAATAATTCATCCAATCCATGAGCATAGTATATCTTTTCATTTCTTTGTGTGTTCACTTCAATTTCTTTCGTCAGTGTTTTATTGTTTCCTTTGTAGAGATACTTACTTCACTTTCTTGGTTAAATTTATTCACAGATATTTTATTTTTTGTAGCTATTGTAAATGGGATTTTTTTTTTTATTTCTTTTCAGATCGATCACCATTAGCATACATAAACACTACTACATTTTTTTTTTTTTTTTAGGTTTGGCAATGAGTTTTTTTTTCATTTTTTTTATTTCAGCATATTATGGGGTATAAATGTTAAGGTTACTTATATTGCCCATGCCCCCCCTTGAGAGCTTCAACCGTGACCATCCCCCAGACATTGCATATCTCACTCATTATGTATGTATATATCCATCCCCTCCTCCCCCCACCCACCCGCCGACACCTGATAAATGTTATTCCTATATGTCCACTTAAGTGTTGATCCGTTAACACCAGTTTGCTGGTGAGTACCTGTGGTGCTTATTTTTCCACTCTTGAGATACTTCACTTAGTAGAATGGGTTCCAGCTCTATCTAGGAAAATACAAGAGGTGCTATATCACCCTTGTTTCTTAAAGCTGAATAGTACTCCATGGTATACATATGCCACATTTTATTAATCCACTCATGTATTGATGGGCACCTGGCTTGTTTCCACACCTTTGCAATTGTGAACTGTGCTGCTATAAACATTCGAGTGCAGGTGTCCCATTTGTAGAATGTCATTTGATCTTTTGGGTAGATGCCCAGTAGTGGAATTGCTGGATCAAATGGTAGATCTACTTGTATGCCTTAGGGTATCTCCATATAGCTTTCCACAGAGGCTGAACCAGTTTGCAGTCCCACCCGCAGTGTAGGAGTGTTGCTATTTCTCCACATCCACGCCAATTGTTTGGGGACTTTTTGATAAAGGCCATTCTTACTGGAGGTAAGTGATATCTCAGTTTTGATTTGCATTTCCCTGATGATTAGAGATGTTGAGCATTTTTTTCATGTTTGTTGGCCTTTATTATGTCTTCTTTTGAAAAATTTCTGTTCATATTCTTTGCCCAGTTTTCGATAGGATTGTTTGATTTTTCCTTGCTGATTTTCCTGAGTTCTAAATAAATTGTAGTTATCAGCCCTTTATCGGATATGTAGCTTGTGAAAATTTTCTCCCATTCTGTGGGTTGTCTGTTTGCTCTCTTGACAGTTTCTTTGGCTGTGCAGAAGCTTTTTAATTTGATGAGGTCCCATTTATTTATTTTAGTTGCTTCTGTGATTGCCTTTGGGGTCTTCTTCATAAATTCTTTGCCTAGGCCAATGTCTAGAAGAGGGTTTCCAACGTTTTCCTCTAGAATTCTAATAGTTTCACACCTAATGTTCAAGTCTGTTACCCAGTGTGAGTTGATTTTTTTAAGAGGTGAAAGGTGTTAGTTCTATTTCAGTCTTCTGCATGTGGCTATCTAGTTTTTCCAGCACCATTTATTGGATAAGGATTCTTTTCCCCAGCATATGTTTTTGTCTGCTTTGTTGAAGATTAGTTGGCTATATGAGGATTTTTTTGTCTTGCAACTTTGCTGAATTTATTAGTCCTAAGAGCATTTTTATGGAGTCTTTAGGTTTTTCTTAATATTAGCTCATGTTGTCAGCAAACAAGGATAATTTGACTTCTTTCTTTCTAATTTAGATGCCCTTTATTTTTTTATCTTACTTAATTCCTCTGTCTAGGACTTCCAGTAGTATATTAAATAGAAGTGGTAGAAGTGGGCATTCTTACCTTGTTCCTGATCTTGGAGGAAAGGCTTTTATTTTTCCCTGTTCAATATGATGTTAGTTGGGGGTTTGTCATATATGGTCTTTATCATGTTGAATTTATGTTCCTTCTATGAGTAATTTGTTGAGAGTTTTTATCATGAAGAGATGTTGAATTTTATCAAATGCTTTTCCAGCATCTACTGAAATGATCACATGGATTTTGTCCTTGATTCTGTTTATGTGATATATCATGTTTATTGATTTGCCTATGTTGAACCATCTTTGCATCAGTGGGTTGCATTCCACTTGACCATACTGAGTGATCTTTTTAATGTACTGTTGAATTCAGTTTGCTAGTATTTTGGGGGGGGGATTTTGCATCTATATTCATCAAGGATATTGGTCTTGTAGTTTTCTTTCTTTTTTTCCCCCACATCCTCTGGTTTTGGTATCACTGTGATGCTGGTCTCAAAGACTGAGTCAGGGAGAATTCCTTCCTCTTAAATTTTTTGAAAGAATTTGAATAGAATTAGTATTGGTTCTTCTTTAAATGTTTGGTAGAGTTTACCAGTGAAGGCCTCAGGTCCTGGGCTTTTTTGTTAATCAGAGATTTCTTATTGCTTCAATCTCATTCCTCATTATTGATGTGTACAAGTTTTCTATTTGTTCATGTTGTAGTCTTGGTAGGTTCATCCTACCAAGTATCTAGATGTGACTTTCTTCAGATATCTATATCTATATAAATTATTTATAATCTATCTATATTTTTCTATAGATGTATCTATTTATAGATAGATCTTTATTGATGTCCAGAGATTCAACCCATGACTGAATACTTTTGTTAGTATAAGGAAATGCCCTGCCAGTAATTCTTCAAATAATTCTATTTTAATATATATATATATATATATTTTTTCCTATTTGTAGGACTTTGGTAACAAGTATATTAGTCCCATTTAATATGTTTCTATAAGGCTTATCCTCTTTTTTATATTTTTTATTTTATGTTTTCTATCTGCTGTAACTTGAATATTTTCTATTGGTATGTTGTCCAGTTTACTAATCTGTATTTTGCTCTTACTAATTTTCTTTTAAATCCATATATTGAGTTTTATGATATTTATCTTTATAATTCTAGTGTTCTGGTATATTCTTTATATTATTATCTATTAAATATTATAGCTATTTTTAAATCCATTTTAATACAGGTATCTAGATTATCTAGTGGGCTCTAAGCAAAATACTGTAATGTGTTCATATAAAAGAGAGGCAGAGGGAGATTTTAAAACAGAAGAGGAAGAAGGCTTTCATGTGATGATGGAAGCAGAGGGAGAAAAGACAATGTGATGTGAGGCTACAAACCAAGGAATAAAGAAGCTCTCCTAGAGCCTAGGGAGATAGTGCAACACTGATGATACCTTGATTTCAGTTTAACAAAACTGATTTTGGACCTGTGGTCTCCTGGAATGCAAAAGCATAATTTACCAATAAGTTTGTGGTAATTTGTTCCAGTAGTCATAGAGAATTAACGCAGATACTTTTAATTGAATGTTGGATTATGTGCATAAAATATTATAGAGGCTCTGAAAGACATTATTTTGTTCCAGAGAAAATTTATTCTTTTTTTTCTAATTGACAGAATGGTTATAGGAAGATCACCTTGATTTAATGAACATGTTTGTTTTCAGATTTTCCTCTTCTAATAGGACCTCTGTTGTCTCATTTCATAGCCAGGGATTTTTACAAAGGCATCTTCGCCTTCTTGGAGCTATACATTCAATAAATAGACTCTGAAATCATTCCATACATGAGGGATAAAATTAATAATTTATAGTTCTTTCCTTCAAGGAACTCAGAATTAGAGACAGACTTAAACATAACTAATATTAATACCAGTGATACAATAGCAAAATTGCTCAGTTTTGTGGCAGTTGGGGAGATATTATGGAGTGCCTTACATCCTCAAGTTTTTAATCTTCACACTCTGAATTTTAAAATATTTATCTTTTCAGATTGTATTATAGGTAGTGATGATCATGCAACCCCATTCTAGCCAATTAAATATTTAGAGGTGTTCTCTGTAGAGGATTTGACTTCTAAAGAAACAGACATCTCAATAGCAAAAATTTTTGGCTTTTCCCATACTTCTACTGTAGAACAGAGGCTATGATCATATTGTGATCATGCTATATGCAAAAAAGATTTACTACATCAGTGAGTTGGACAGCTGACCTACAGACTTCTTATATCATTAATCCAATCAACTTTGCTTTTCTTTAAACTATT